GAATCTTAGCTATCATAACAGACCCATGGGATATATAACAGTTAAGACTTGTTCATAATCCAAATCAAAAACATCCAGTTAATTTAAAATAAGGATAAACCAATTATCTACCAGACTCTCACCTTTCTCTTAATCCAAATCAAAAACATCCAGGTAATTTCCAATAATGATAAATCAATTATCTTCTTGATTCACACCTTTCTCTTAATCCCAAAATAAAACATTCAGTTCTTTTCTAATAGGATAAACCAATTAACTCCTGTATTCACACCTTTCCAAAACATCCTGTTGTTTTCCACAAATTAGGGATGTCACTGAGACTAAATAAGTTGATTAGGACAATTGGTTCTTTGATTGCATTTGTATATATGTAAAGATAAATAACAACTATAACATTGACTCAATATGTGGCTTTAATTAAAATGTCCAGACATTTGATTTCTGATAAAAATGTCCAGATTAGACAGGTCACTTTTTCAAATCTGGTTGTTCACTGTTCAAATTAGGAGGTGTTCAGATTTCAAGGTTTTTTTAACATGGGAGTCAATGGAAGAAAAAAATGGGACCGAAAAAAAGTGTTCAAATTGGAAGGTGTTCGGATTAGCCAGGTGTTCAGATATACAGGTTTTACTGTATTACAAGATGTCCGTCCGTCCGGGCAATAACTAAAATACCGTTGGCCCAATTTTATTCATATTTTTTAAAAATGGCGACCATTTTAGGGCAATATGTTTTAAATGTAAAAAGATTATATAGGACATTAATAAAGCTAGAAATGTAGGTATTAAAGAAGCACATGGCAGCCATCTTGAAAAATGGCAGCCTTAACTCGCTATTTTACGATTTCTGCTGTAACTCAAAAAGTAGTGGAGCGATTTTGTTCATATTTGGTAAGTGAATACTATAAGCATGCCAAACTGTCTAATGACACGTTTGGTAGAAGGCAGCCATTTTGAAAAATGGCCGCCATTTTAATGTGTTTTACTATAACATGAAAAGTAGTGGAGCGATTTTGCTCATATTTGGTATGTGAATATTATAAGCATGGCACACTGTCTTATAACACTTTTGGTAGAAGGTGGCCATTTTGAAAAATGGCCGCCATTTTTGCTTTATACTTTGTAAAAATGCCAGCCGTGGCTGTTCGATGGGATTTGCTACACTTTGGCGTTGCTGTTGTCTAGTTGTATTTTAAACTGTATCAATGAAATAAATAATAATAACAAGAAAAAATTGCTTTGTAAATTCAATAAAACAATGAAAAATGAATAAATAAATCCTTTAGTCTATTATTTTGAATAATTTGATATCATCTAACTATAAGTCACACATACACACAGTATGAAGTAAGTTTAAGGTCTCTCAGATAATCAATGCACACTTTAATAATTGTATCATCTTATGTACGAAAAAGCATTATCACAGGGCCAACCTCTTGGCTCTGCTTGGCACATACATGTACTACTAATTTCTTCACTTTACAATGGCGTTGCCCCCCCCCCCTTCCCAGATCTTTTTAGATTTGAAACCAAGCCTAGAATTGACAGCTCTAGAGCAGATTAAAGTCAAAGTGTAATAATGACAGAAATGATACTATGTCAGTGTAGAAGATCTCATTTCTCATATTTAATTCTATACCATGTATAGTTTCTCAGGAACCCATACAGTATGTAAATACTTCGAAGAATAAGTGCAAAATATATATTTTAGTAAAAGAAGTTTTTTAGTCAAAGTCAAGTTAGTTTTTTAAAAACACATTTTTTCTTGTTTTTATTATTGGGAATTTTGTGCTGAGATATGCTCAGAATGCACCAGAGAGAGGTCTAAATTTGAAAATTTTCTGCCCCCCCCCCCCCCGATCCCCTTAGATTGTGCCGCAATGTATTATATATATTTATATCTCCCCGAGCGACCGAAGGGACCAAGGGGAGATATAAATATTTCCCAAGGGATATACCCTATATCCAAAACCGACCGTACATAACTGTTGCATCTCATACTTGAGTGGGTTAAGGGTAGATATAACCTTTTCCACCTTTTTCAAATGACAAGATAGGCCTATAGTAAAAGTAAAAATATTTAACATTTTCGTAATATTCTTTTTGTTCAATACAATGAAATTGTAACATTTAAACTTTAAAAAATTTAAACTTTAAAATTTAAAAATTTTAAAAAATTTTGATTTTTAAACTTTTTTTAACTTTTGAAAAATTCCCGGGAGCGGGATGGATATATTATATCTGCCCACATTTGGCTTGGAGCGGGACATATACAATATATCCTGCCCGCTCCTCATATATGATATATATTCCCGGGTGATATCTACCCCAAACCCACTTAAGTATGAGATACTATGAGGTTATATAATGGTTCATTCTGTATATCGTGTTTATACTCGAGTGAGTATATGATATATTCACAAGTGAGCGTAGCGAACGAGTGAATATATTATATTCTCACGAGAGTATAAAATGCACGATATACAGAATGAATCATTATATAATCTTATTATGCCACTCTAAGTTCAACTACAGTTGATTCGAACACAATCATAACGATTAAAAACCATAAAAATATCCCATAGCCAACTCAATAATGCCGATGTTGATCTCGAACCATTTATGACGTCACTTGATTCTAAGAAATCATGCCGGAACCATTTAAGACGTCACTTGATTCTAGGAAATCATGAAAATTTTGGAGCGTCGGAACTCCTCATTCGCTCCGCTCATTCGAGGGACACAACAGTCTGTGTAACAAAACATACACGTTGTTCTTCGCTCTACGAGGCCCGATCAGAAAGTAAGTAACCAACTGCTCTCATTTTTTCATATTTCATTCAATCACATTGAAATTTTCACAGATGATGTAGAAAATATTAACCTATTAAACAAGAGCATCAATTCCATTGTTATTGCTGTTGCTATGGTGACAATTGTTTTGGGTAGGTGGGGCACCCTGTTTTAAGTCGCGTTTGAAGATAATTTGTTGAGTTTTTCTACATGTTGTAATACCTCAAATATTACAGTATGTCAAATATACATGTACAAGATTACATTTTAACTCACAGTTTATAAAATTAATCACCACCAAAGTCAATGCAGTTGAGGCAAGGTTTCACTCTGTCCTAAACATGTCACCATTCAATGACTGCAAACTGCCATTGAAAGCTTTAATGATAGCTTTATTGCTGTCCAAATGGACACTCCATAACATCATCTTTGCAAGAATTTAGAATTTAGTCACATGGGGAATAGTCTGGGGATTAGTGAGCCTGGGGTAGTTGTGTGGCCATGGAAAAGGCTTAATCTATTGTATCTCCGGAAATGTTGGCTCTGTGGAGGTGGACCATTGTCGTCATGCCAGTAAAATCTCCTTTCAACAAAATTTGACTGGATTGAAACTGTGCCTGAATCATGACCATAATTATGACAGATATACCCTTGATTTCTTTGTGTCGTTGACTTATAAATGAGACAATTGAATGTAGTTACCATTGTGATAATACATAGAACAAATTATTCAGTCTTGCATAAAAAAATGTTAGGTCATTTGGAGGAATACACCATGTAAAAAATTCTACAAATCATATTCCAAAGCCGCTTACAAAAGGGTGCCCCGCTTACCCAAAACAATCATCACCATAGCAACAGCCATAACAATGGCATTGACGCTAACCCATTGTCCTTGGTCTTGTTTAATAGGTTAATATTTTCTACATCATCTGTGAAAATTCCAATGTGATTAAATGAAATATGACAATATGAGAGCAGTTGGTTACTTACTTTCTGATCAGGCCTCGTATATTCATTAGTTCCCAGAATGCACTTCTACAGTGGTATACGCTGGAGTGTATACGGTGGAGTGTATACGATGACGATATACCACTCTCCACTATAAATCGTTGTTATAGACCCAAGTTATACAACTGTAATTTGACTTAGAGTGGTATAAATAAATATATATCATATATAATAAGCAGATCTACTGCTCACAAGGAGAAACAGATGAAGAAGACTAGAAGATGGACATTGTTTTAATATTCATGGTCTCAATTAAATGGATCCTTACCATGTATATAATAATTCTACATACTCATTCACCTTCATTTATATCAAGTACATATATACATGTATTTTGTAAGTTATAAGAAGGACATATCACAGACTAGTTAGTATGAAAGTTAAAAAACTCAAAAATTCACTGTTTAATAGTCAGAACAGAAACTAACGTTAACAAAATCTATTATGCTGTGAACAATTAAAATTGCTCTGCAGAACCTGTATTTGCATTACTATGACAACCACAATTATTATTTAAAGGACAACTGAAATAGCTTTTCTCAACTTGCAGCTACAAAAATGCGGTTTTCTTCATTGTAAGCCCAACGTAGAGTTCTTGCGATAGCCATTTTAAAATAAATGTTAGATAACTGCTAACGGTCATAGATAACGAAATAAATTAACTGATCAATCAAATTGGCCCCCACGTGACTAGTAACGTCATATACAAAATATAGCTTTGGTTTATTGGTTCCTTGGTAATCACAACGTCACGGCAACCATAGGATTGTTGTGTAAACAAATAACAAAACATTTTTGCATTATGACGTCATGATCTAATGGACCAAAACGGGCCACGTGGGGGCCAGTGAGAGATCACGTGGGGGCCAATAACTTCACAACCAATTCGAATATTGCTTATTAAGCAGCTATAACGATCGTTAGAGTGAAATAATTTTCACACTACTGATGAGAAAACATGTCCAAATACAATTATCAAAAAAATTATATTGATTCCTTTGGGTTAAAAATACCATTTCATATCTGCTTTAATTGCTATTATTGATTATATCTCCATAATTTTTTTTCTTTGAAAATTTGATTGATGAATTACAGGAAATAAGAGTTTGAGAGCAAAATTAGCTTTACTTACTTGAACATTGTAAATTAAGCAGAATTAAATTAACAATTTTAATTTCTTTTTGTATATCATTTTAGAAATGCAAGGTTGCCTATCCCATAATAACTCTGCATGCCCCGCAGTATCAGCCATTCCTAGTGGCACACTGGCAGCACAAGGAACGTAAGTTAAATATTTATTAGTCAACAAATGTCTTAGGCAGCTGTCAAACACACTGTGACGCGTGGAGTCAATTTTGATCTATCGTAGACCATATCACCATCAAATTCCCGATATTTCAACCTCGCCTGCAAGGCCATTTTTATTTGAAACATCTTGAATTTGGTGTCAAAATAAAGCTGGTCACGCCCACTTTCTATAGTTATCAATGGATCATTTACTACGACTACTGTATTCATTTAGGAGCTGCGTTTAGTTAACCAATCAGAGAGACAAATGTTCCATATACAGTAACATGAGTAGTAACCAATCAAGATGCCGTATTTTATCACGCGAGTTAAGAGTGACATGCAGAATGACATGAGTTGATCACGATGTTAAACAATTTCTTCTCGTAATTTTCCAGAGAAATCAGCAATCTGCCATTTCTTCCTGTACAAATTATAACTTATCTTTATCAAATCCTAAAGTTTCAGATGAAGATATGAAGCATACGTTTAAAAACGAAGCGATTTATTTGACAATCTGATTTTGTATTTTGCAATGGCCAATTTGCAAGTCTGCATGTATTTGACAAGAGATAGCACCAAGTGTTGTTCTAAAATTTGACAGCTGCAGAAAACCTGTATCATAACCTGTTCTCTGAGTCTAATTCAAACTGAGTAATAGGATCACTGGGATCCTCTGTCAATGGCATCGGGCCTTCATTCCAGAACTCACATTTTTAGTTGATTATCCGCGCCTTTCATAGTTCTTGTCTGAAGTTTCAATATCTGCTCTTACTGGCATACTTGGACACCTTTCCCCTCTTTTAATTGTCCTCAGTCAAATGACGCCCTCTCGCCATTTATATAGCCATTAGGCAGAACCCAAGAATCATAATCGCTGTTGTTTGCCATATTGATACTGTAATATCTGTAATACTAGGTCATTGACTGCTACGCGTAATGGTTACGTGTCTAGCGCCATATAGGAAAAATTGAGAATTTCGAAACAACAATTTTTGGCCACTTTTATTGCAAATTTCAGGTATTTATAAGTGTTTGTGGTATAAAATATAATCCACAGACATAAATGAACATTCAAATTATATGATTTATTAGGTTTTGGGGCCATTTTTGATCTTAAATTTACATCTTTATTAATATTTCTTGTCATCATAATTTCTTAAAAACTATTTATTGATTCACTTCAAGATAATTGTATATATGTGTTAGATGCTATCAAGATCTAGAATTTGTTAACTTGACCACTCCAGGGCAATTTGTTTACCATTTTGTTTGATTTTTGTTTTTATTTCTTGTAATTGCAATTTATGGAAAAGTTGTTTTGCTACTTTAATTAGCTATCGTTTTGTCTTGTTTATTTTAGATATTTGCTATTCATGAACTGATTCGACTCTTTACATTCATTGCTAATAAAACATTTATTATCCCACCGAACGAAGTTTGAGGGGGATATAGAGAAGCTGTCCGTCCGTCCATCCGTTCGTTTGTCCATTTGTCCGGACGATAACTCTAATACCGGTTGACGGATTTGGTTCAACTTTATAGGCTTGTGCCTTATGAGTGTAGGACCTCTGCTCGAGAAGGAATTTTCAATATGGCCGCTCAATTCAAAATGGCCACCATTTTTCGTAAAAAAATGTAATCGTTGATAACTCAAATACAAGTTGACGGATTTGGTTCAAATTTTATATGCTGATGCCTAGGAACAAAGGAATTTCGCACAAAAATAGATTTTCAAGATTGCCACTTAATTACAAAATGGCGGCCATTTTTCGTAAAAATATATAATCTTTGATAACTCAAATACCAGTGAACGGATTTGGTTCAAATTTTATATGATGATGCTTAGGGACACAGTAGCTATGTTCGACAAAAAAATTTCAAGATGGCCGCTTAATTTCAAAATGGCGGCAATTTTTCGTAAAAAACGTAATCTTTGATAACTCAAATACCAGTGAACAGATTTGGTTGAAATTTTATATGATTATGCCTAGGGACACAGTAGCTCTGTTCAAGAAATAATTTTCAAGATGGCGGCTGAATTTCAAGATGGCGGCCAATTTTTGTAAAAAACATAATCTTTGAAAACTCATATACCAGTGAACAGATTTGGTTCAAATTTTATATGCTGATGCCTAGTTCACAATGGTATAAACTAACTTTGTGCCAAATTTCACGCTTCTATCACAAAGTGCACAAACATTTCAACATTTACACTAGCTATGATAAGCATAATATGTTTTGTTTGGTTGGATTTGCTACTCCGTGGAGTTGCTGTTTTTCTAGTTGAAGATGAATTCCATAAACATTGTCATATTTTGGAATGGAAAATAGCCAGTAGATTGTATTGACAAGGATATTTATTGAAATTGTCTATTTATTTATGTGATACAGCTGTCACATATACGTATATGAATTTTGCTTTATATAGAACCATAAAATAATTAATGAAAAACAATAGTTATAACGGTATTCAAATTTTATTAAATAGATTCTAAGCTATAAAGTCAAATGAATTTTACGGAAGTCCTGTTTTGTACATTCTTAACTGACACCAGAGAAAGTTGCATTGCATTGTTGCTCGCACGACAACAACAAACCACAGATTTCAGTACAGAGCTCACCTTTTACAAAACAGTGCAACTTACCGCATCTTTAACACTTCAGCTAGTTTTCTAGCCAATATCTACCATTTTCTTGATAGATCACAGAAAATCAGAATCAAACAATTTTTTGAAGGATTTTTTGTCTTGCAGAGAATTGTTTTTTTTATTCTGGTGTTGCGACATCGCTATGGTAATTCATAAAATAGCATGTACTGATTTACATAATCAGGTAAAATTGGAAAAAAATAATAGCTAAGTTACAATATTCTAGTTTAATGGACATAATATTAAGCAATTTTTGGTGAATGTTCACATGGTGTGCACTGTCTATAATGGCGCAATATTTTGCAACGACTTCAGCAAACCCCTTGCGCAAATTTTGGGGAAAAAATTGCAACAACCTCTGGTGTCAGTCTAAATGCTGTACTGGTAACAGAAATATAAAATATAATACCTTTAACAAACAATATAGGATGTTCCATGTATACAGGTTGTACTTTGTTCAATACATCAAAAATATTACAGATCATGAGATAACCTACAACCTACATGTTTTCAACAGAAATTTAATATTTTTGGTTCATTCAAAATTTATAGAGAAATATTCCAATCAACTAAACCTTAATGTTCTTTCAGCCGACGGAAAGCATTTAACTGATGTAGTTCATTTGGTAATGAAATCTGGGTCCGGTGTTGCCAAATGTGAATTGTTACACGGCAGTTTGGGGGGATTAAAAACTGTGGATCAACACGCAATGTCAATAGGAGGTGGTGAGGTAAGGATTGTTCCTGGAAATATTTATTATGAATGCCTTATTACGATTGGTCAATTAGATGTTTGTGATTTCCTCCCAACTAAATAGACTGGGAATGCAGACGGTGATCTCACCAGATTGAAATCTTCAGTTGAGAGTTTGAAAACTACATTTTGTAGAAACTAGTTTTGCATTCAGTACATTTTCAAAATCATGAACAAATATTTTACTATTATTGGTACTTGTGTACATGTGTAAACATGCAGTGCTTCATTTTGATAGTATACAGTTCAGCTTATAAAAATGAAAAATTAATGATATATTTTATTAGTTGTAAATGGTAATCTTTGTTTTGTTTGCAACTAGTGACAACTATTGTTTGTTTTCAGCAAGAGATCCTGGCATATGTGAGTGGGAAGAAACTATATGTCTATAGCTTCAGACACAATAGAATACATACGTAAGTTCATCTTGTAGGCAGGATTCCAATAAAAAAATAAAATATATGTATGTCTCATTCATGTGTTCATACCATTTAAATGGCATCTGCAAGTGTGACATTTGAAGAAGATGAAAATTGAAGATTACTTAGACCTTACTACTCCTAATTTATTCACTTGCTGGAATTATACCTGAAAAAATGCTAAAAGGGCTTTAGTGAAAGAGCTTTACAAAATCGCCATCCTGATTACACCAACATTTCTAAAGCGCCTTAGGAATTTTATTTTGAAATTACACATGTCATTTGTAAAATGCTTTTTGTGCACTTTTAACGATGTAGATATGGAGAATATCCAGCAGATGTGTACACCTACAATAAATGTATTCTTTTATCATCTAAGAGAAAGCATAACCGAGACTTTTGCCAGTGATGTGAACTTACTTTCAATTTTTGCGGTATAATTTGATGACCTATTGCATTTTTGGGTCCCATCCATCATTTCCTGTATTTTTGCCGTGGCCCAAATGTGTAGCATCCGAAATATGTCTTATTACAATTAGGGCAAATGACAAAAACCCAGGTAAGGCATTTTTCAAAAACTGATCGGTATAACACTACACTCCAAAAGCACCTAACGATTTAAGGCGTTTTTTAGTGACTAGGGTTCTAGAAGTTTTGGAAAAGCGCTTTTGTAAAACGGCTATCGTGATTACACCTATTTTTCAAACCGGTTAAAACCTTAGGCGCCTTTTTAAAATCAAGGTGTAATTCCAGCAACTGAGTCAAATAATTCTGAAAAATTCCTCTCTGCATAAACTTAATATAAACTTTTCTTGTAGTCATTTTAAAATTGATTGAGATTTTATTATCCCACCGAACGAAGTTCGAGGGGGATATAGGAAAGCCATTCGTTCGTTCGTTCATTCGTTAGTTGGTTCGTCCGTCCATCCATTTGTAGTGTGTCCTGGCGATAACTCAAATACCAGTTGATGAATTTGGTTCAAACTTTATAGGCTTATGCCTTATGGCCGCTCAATTCAAAATGGCTACCATTTTTCGTAAATGCAATCTTTGATAACTCAAATACTAGATGTCGGATTTGGTTCAAATGTATATGTTGATGCCTAGTGACAAAGGGGCTTTACTGAAGAAGTGATTTTCAAGATGGCCACTGAGTTTCAAAATGGCAGCCATTTTCCGTGGAAATATGTAATTTCTAACAACTCAAATACAGGGTGGTCAAAAAAAATGGCAACCCTAATTTTTCCTCATATCTTTGTCATTTTTAGAAATTTTGCCCTGATATTTGGCACACATGTACATCATTCAATGTCATACTAGACTGCGTTATTTCATGAACATTGGACTGATAGTCGCAATGTTACAGCACTTTAAACAAGGCGCCCCAGTTTTCCAATATCGTGCTGTAGGCAAACCTGCACACATTTTCCAAACCTGTTAATGACCTAACTGCATTCCTCAGCAAGTATGGCCTGAACGACACATGTGATCTTTATTTTGAGGTCAAATGTCTTTCTGGTGTTATTACCCTACACTCTATCTTTTGGGTATCCCCACTGGTAAAGATTAAATGGGGCCATATCTGGGCTATGGGGTGGCCATTCATTGTCTGTTGTACTGCTGATAATGTGGTCATTGAAGTGGTCCCAAAGCCATTATTGTGCATCATTGGGTGTATGGGGTATGGTTCTGTCTTGTTGGAACCACTGTTGCTGCCTATCAACCCCCCTGGGTTCAACTAAAGTCCCCAAGAACTCCATGGGAATCACAAAATAGAGTTTGATGTTGACAGTTATTGCATATCCGTTGGTATCATCAAAGGTAAAGAGCCCTGTCTTCTTAGAACACACTAAACTGTGCATCTGTCTGTGTGAAGGTGCCTCTCCACTACTTCATCAAGTGCTTGGCTCCCCAAGAATACATAATTGTTAGAGTTTACCAGTGCATCAAGTTGGAAATGGAGTTCATTTGAATACGAGACCAGCTCAGACAGCCCAAAAGTGGCCATATGGGGCATGTTGCTTAAAATGCAGTAATATTGTGACTATCAGTCTCATGGTCATGAAACATGGTAGGTTGGTAGGAAATTGAATGATGTACAAATGTGTAAAATATCAGTTATTTCTTAGAATGACAAAAATATTAGGAAAAACTAGGGTTGCCGGTTTTTTTGACCACCCTGTACCAGTGGACGTATTTGGTCCAAATTTTATATGCTAATGCCAATGGGACAAGGGAGGTTTGATTAAGAATTTTTAAGATTCCTGCTATTTATCAAAATGGCAACCATTTGTTGTTAAAAATGTAGTCTTTGATAATCCAAATACCAGATCATGGATTTAGTTCAAGTTTCATATGCTCAAGAAGAAATTTTCAAGATGGATTTCAAGATTTTCAAGATTTAAGCCTCCAAGGTTTAAACTAAGAGAAAGACAAAGAGTTATCCGCAAGAGTTCAAGTCATGTTTGTATTTTAGACACCATTTGAATGAGGCCAAGAAGACTGGAGTTCAGATGACTTGTGTTGCAGTTCACCCGACAGAACGCTGCATTGCAACTGGATGTAGTGATGGAAGAATCTACCTGTGGTTCTCTGTGTGTAACTCACAGACAGTTACACAAACTAAATACCATTGGCATTCTCTTGCCTGTAAAACCATTGCTTTCACTAATGAAGGTAAAGTAACCACTATTGCGTGGATTGCTTTATACCTGTGATATAGCATTTTATTCTACCAATAAGAACTGGTAATATCATTAAGGGACACCATTTTTCGAGACTGATGATTGGTGTCTCACAATCATTGGACTTTCCCAGTTTGCTTGGATTGCTTTATACCTGTTATAGCATTTTAAACTACAAGTAAGAACTGGTTACATCATTAAGGACACCATTTTTTGGACTGATAATTGGGGTCTCACAATTATAACACTTTCCAAGTTTGTGACATGAATGCCTTGTTCAAAATACATATTGTAATTTTGTATTCTTCAGGTTCATACATGCTGAGTGGTGGGCATGAGTGCGTACTGGTTAAATGGCAGTCTAACTCTAATATGAGGGACTACATGCCACGATTAGGAGCTCCAATCAACTACATCTCTTGCTCACCAGATAACAATCTTTATGCTGTATGCATGAAAGATAATGGTATGTAGCCATTCTCTAATACTCAATCTAAAGAAAGATTTATTACCATATTTCTCATTTAAGCACCTATGTTTTTGCTATTTATGAGCATGCCAAATGCAATACTTTTGTGCTTTACTAACGAGTGTATAATGTCACATCAATAGATTATCATATTAACATAGTTAATATTCTTGTCAGTAGGATTCCTTTACATGTTTGTTCTGAATTCAATTTTTATTTTGATCCAGTGCTCCAAATGACCTTTCACCTTGATCTGACCCTTTGACCTTTATGTGACATCATTATTAATTTTACTTGATCACTGGCAACATTGCAGTCTCATGATGTTATTAAAAAACATTGATTACTTGTAGTATAGGTTCTGAAATACTATCTGATGTCATAGGATAAGTTCCAATCAAACAATATGGCTTGTATTTTTTCTAGTCCTTTTTACTATACTATACATGACATTTTCCATTTATTTTAGTTGTTCAACTGATCTCCAACAACTTCAAGGTGCGCCAAATCTACCAGGGCCTAACTGCAGCCCATATGGATAGTTATACCAGGAATATATGTCCCGCTGGACTCATTGTTGATCCCAGAACCAAAAGTCTGGTCCTCAATGGAAAACCTGGACACTTGCAGTTTTATTCTTTACAAAGAAACAAGCATTTGTATAATGTAAGCAACTTAAGGCACTTTAATGCTGCAAATTTATTGATGCTATTGAATGACATCATTGTTCAGTTGTTAATGCATTGAATAATCTATCTATCTATATATTAAGAAAGTAATTCCAAAATTAAAGGGATGCATTTTTGTGAAACCCTGTATAACTCCTCAGTAGGAGCTATAAGGTGTTATAACTTGACTAGTACTTGAAATTAAACTTTCAGCTGTCAGCTACTGGGTAACCTACTATTTATGATCAGCTCATTTAAATATGAGTAGTACCTGCCAGTATTCCATTCATATGAAATGAGTTTGCTACAAGAAGTAGGTTAATCCAGTAGCCGACAGCTGTTATTTGCATTCGCCAATACAAGCTTAGTAAAGAATTGGGAAATCTGTTAGAATTTAGAAAATAAAAACTAATGGGCTGTTGTAAAAAAGATATTGAAGTAGGAATTAATGAAATTGTAATATAGAAAAGAAATTGTAAAAATCAGCAAAGTTTTGTCAAATTCACCACCAGTTAATCACAAGAAGTTTCTGAATGTTATAATTATCTGAGAACACGTGGTCACATTTTCATGTTATTTCAGTTAGACATTGTATGTCAGAATTACATCTCACCTGCAAGTTTGAATCGTCCTACTTTCGTCACAGAGATAGAAAATGCTGCATTTGACAGCCTTGGCAATTGGCTAGCAACGGTAGAGCGACGTGATGATAGGGAAACCACACCTGAAATACGCCTGAAATTTTATGAATATATCTCAAAGGACCAAAGGTATTGTAAATAGGTCTATACGTTTTGCCTGTCTATCTTGAATGAAGAGATATTATTCTAGTGTCATTACACCATGATATGAATTGAGAGTAGGAAATTATGTTTTAATAGGGCAATGTCTGCAATTATAATCCTAAATTCACATATCAATTTACGATGACCTGTTACTTTCATCATAGGTACAAACTTTTTTTCTGTAAATACCAAATTTTGAACACTTTTTAATGACAATTTAATCAACAACCTTGTACTTTTCAGACCTGAAGTAAGAGCTTTTTCATTTCAGTTTTGTTCTGAACACAACCATTGATTTGCCACATCAGAAGAAGGTTTCCTGCATGAAATTCAGGCCAACCAATCAAAGCGAAGATCCAACTTCACTCCTGACCACAAGTGAAGATGGAAAGTTTAAAATATGGCAGATCATGGATGATACAGATATCTATAGTAAGAAATGTTTTCTATGGGGTGCCACATTGCTTTTAAATGAATTCAATAATATACATGCATGTAGGATATCTATCAATAGTGCATAGGCACTCAGGTCAAATACCTTTTCAGACTGCCATGAATTGTTCTTCCAGATCGATCGATGTATTATTGAATAACTAAAATATAGGCCTAAGCCTGTAAATAATAAATGTGTTTTAAATTTCTGATTTTTGCAGGAAACAATGTGTGTTTCAACTGTGATAGTGTCGGCTTCTACAAGGAGTTACCTGCTGGTGCGGCAGACTTCTCAGATGATGGCTCTGTGCTTGCAGTGGCATTTAAATCTGTCCTCACTGTATGGGACCCTGACACAAATGGCCTGAAAATGAGCTTAACTCTGGGCAGGAGCAGTAATGATGTGATCAGGTTAGTTTTGTTTTTTTGGAATTTTTTGATGGAAATAAATCTTTGAGACAAGCTCGTTAGAGACCAGTGCAGCCAGGCTAGGGCCTTTCATGCTTGAAATGCAGTTCTCAAAGATCTTTCCACCCTGGAGTTTAGTAGTCTTGCTTTTGAAGGGTGGTCAATTTATTTTGATAAAAAAATCATATTGAATGAATGTTAATATAGGATTTTATTAGTACTGATGCCCATTTAGGGCCAAAGGTACATTCTATATACAATTTTCAATAACAATGTTAATGAAACCATGGTATTGACATATTATTTTGCATAAACTGACTTATGTGCAAACATGTCCTACTTTGCTCCAATGATAAAATCATATATTGCGTATACGCATGTTTATCCTATGCCAAGTAGAGTTTTAGGGAGATAAGTTGGCAAGATATATCCCGTATCCTGATTTTGAGGTTTCAATATCCTGAATCTCCATATCTCCCGCCATATCTCCCGCTCCAGGGCATATCTGCCCGCTTCGAAAAAAAATTTGAAAAAAATAAGAAAAAATTGAAGAAAAAAAAAAATTTGAAAAAATGAAAAAATTGAAAAAAAGAAAAAAAAATAGAAAAAATTGAAAAAATAGAAAAATGTGAAAAAATTGAAAAAATAAAAAAAATTGAAAGAAAATTAGAAAACTCTACTTGGTATAGGATAAAGCAGTTATGTACGGTTGGTTTGGATATTGGGTTCATCCCTCCCTACATCCGCCTCCGACCCCGGTCAAAATGTGACCTGAGATGAATTTTAATATAATTTCCAAATTTGTAGCTTATATTTGTTATAAATTTATAACATGTTATAATTATCAATAAGGGTTCTATTCAATACAGAGTTCATTAATTTAGTAGCTAATTAAAAAAAATTGAGGTCACATTAACTTTGGCAGTGGGGTAGGTGCGACTTGACACAAAACGACTTTCTAGCAGTCAGTTTTCAATGTAATCTATACCTCAAAACATGATTTTTTGGGTTATTTTAAAATAGCAATGAAGTTCTCAAAATTTGCCATGAAGATTTTAGGGTAAAACAGATTTTTCAAAAATATTAGTCAATAGTACATAGAATACTACAGTATAATTTTGAACAAGTGACAAAAAAAGAAAACATTTTTTAAGTCAATGTTCTCTTGATCAAATCTCTCAAAAGTTGGTGAAAAGCTTTATTTTGGGTTATTAAATATACACTGTGAAACATGTTGAAATCTTTTTACTCAGATATGAATAAATTGATATTTTGTCCTTTTTCTCAAGGTCACATCTACCCCATGCGTCCACCATCATAAAAAATATTTGTTCATCAATAATATTTTCTTGTAATAGGTAGATGTGATAAATTCCTACATAAGAAAAGGATAAACACATTTATGTCAAGTATCTAGAGTACTTAATTTCAATATTTATTTTCAATACTTGTTTAAATATTATGTTTTGCCCCAAGTCGCACATACCCCACCTCGTGTAAAATTATGAAAATTTTCAATAAATCCTCTTCCCTTCAAAAGTTGATGGTAATTTTAATACTTATTTCATTGTTACCTTCTCTGAAATGTTAACAAATAAAAATAGCCCATTTAGATCACCCATGGTATCATTTTAAATCATATTTTCATACATTAAGATACTAGATAAGATGCATTTAAACATTGATTACCAACATATCATATGAGTATAGTTTCCTTCAAGGCAGAATCTGATCTAAAGCATTGACAAAATTGCAAGCAACATGTACAAATAACATATTAATGTGGTACTGGTGATCTCAAATACAAAATCCCATAAGATCTATGATATCAAATCAATTGGTAAAGACTAAAGATATGAGCCCAAAATGTAATAAGATTGAAATAATTGTTTCTTGTGCTTGTCTTTGTCTGTTCATTATCTGTTTTCACACCATCGGTAGTATATGGTCGTCGTGATGACTATGTTTTCATTACGGTGATTGTCCCACTTTTTTGTCATCCCAATTTCGGGATTCAGCTGATTATCTTTTAGGTGGCTGAATTGTTTTCTGGCGGCCAATTTGAAGGTTTTTTGTTAAATCTTGTCATTGTCATTACAGGAAAACCCCTTGTTCAGTTTTCTCCAAATCCATACACCTGTTTGTAACAGAACTGCAAAAGATCTCTACAATTATCTCCACTCTGTTATATTGCCTTAGATTTTAGTTCAATATGTGAGCTATTGATTAATATGACCACAGTCAACATTTTTTCTTCAAAGTTTTTAAAAATAATAGGAGAAAAGTTTTCCTGGTTCATACATTGTCTGGCTATTTGGTGGTGTGATCTCGTTCACGTAATGTATCTTGTTAAATATAGCTACTGTGCCTAAAAATTGATACCACAGCATTGAATTAATGGGAGTTGACTTTTAATTAAACAGACTGTTATTTTATATCTAGATATTGTTTGATATAAATTCATTCCAAAAGTAACATAGATGGTACCAACTTGAAGCTAGGAATTTGTAGTATGTAGAAATAGGATATATATGTGGTGGATCTGGTGTGTGTGACATAAGGATATTAATTATGCATTTTATTATACAGGGTGTTCAGTAAATATCATGAATAGGTCTGGCATTTTGTTTTATTGTATGATATACAATGTATCAGCAAATAAATATGAATAGAATATTGAGGGTATAACACCCTGTAGTACTCTTGGTTGCTATGGTAACCATATTATCAACCAATCTAATGGTAGAACTGATATCTTTAAATAAATCAATTCAGAAATGTCCAATGCATATGCTCATAAATTTTCATATTTGGACAAATACAAACAGTAACAAAATACCAGACCAATGCACCTTTTTTCTTTACAGAGGGTATACTATTTTGTAGCGATTTAGTATGAATAATTAGTCTCTGCATACAATTTTGCCATTTGACGTCAATTGTATTCTGTATATTGAATATTTTTGGGTGATTTGTTATCACAGGCTGTTATCGAAAGATTTGTGTGCTGTGACGGATCATGCTATTGTTCATAAAAACACTAAGAATACTTTACAATTTATTTTTTAACTCATATGTTTCGTTATATCAAAGAAAATTACCTACTCCATGCAATGGATATATCATTTGCGAGTAACCGCCAAAGTATCATACGCTAAAATGTACCATTTCTTTTTTTTAACTTTTTAATGGCATGATATAGTGACATGATAATATTTACAGAGGTGGCGTTAACGCAATTTTTTACGTTTTTTACTCACATTTTTGCAACTCTGACGCAAATATTCATTGTCTACTGAGTCTTTCTGACGCACGTTTGTTTCACATGCCAAATCCCCGCTTGGTACTTGGTTAAATTGATCCCTATACGTGAAAATACGTGATTGATCAAATTTATAATTTTGCTAATTCCGGAAATCTAACATTTCGTTCAGCGCAATCGAGCCTCCTTCCTACCGATCATTTTCTCATTTCGGTATTTCATATAATTTTTAAAGCCCTGTGATTCAGATTCAATGATAAACTTGAAAACATTGATCGATCCCTCGATTTATTTATCTCGTGAAGCACGTTGCTAGGGGGCGTATCAAAAATGCAATAAAACGAACATAACATTGAACAATAATTTATTAATTTCATACTCCCTTCTAAGGATTTTATTGATGGTATATTTATCTAAATTACCGCATAAAATCTTCCCTCGAATGTTCACACGCTATATTTACGAACCTTTAGTTTCCTTCGCAAGTTCGCAAAATTCCTTAGCTAAGTTAGCAAGTTTCCTTGAGCCGTCCCCTTCATCAGCATGCGCAGATGTAATGCGCAGTAGGTTTATCAATGGTGCTCACAGTGACCGATCTATCGTTAGTTTTCACCAAGTATTTTCAATTAACTCCCTCAAGTTAAGATCTTCGATTCACTAGATCTGAAGCTGATCCTATGAAAATAAATAATGGGCACATGAAAATCCAGTCGATCGCACATTAAGGGGGGTAATGATGATAAATTAGGTATGAAAACAAATTTACTTTCGGTTTCATTTGATCAGCTATAATTATAAGATTCTACCGTATTCAATTTAAATAATGCCCAGTATTGTTGTCGGTCTTATATTGCCGTTTTAGACTTTGGAAAGATTGCAAAAATGTTGAATTTCAACATGAAACGCTTCGACCCCAATTTGTGTAACCCCACACAGGGAGAAACTCCTCTCCCACTCCATTCACACCCATGACTCGCTGGACCAGATAATCAGATGATTAATAGTGACATTTTTCTTGCAATTGCCTAATTAATTAATTGTTAGTTGTTAATGTGCTATAAGAGTACAATAAAAGGTATGCATGAAATCAAAAAATAGATTTTGTATGTGGTTTCTACATTTTGTATGCATTTTTACTCAAGAAAAAACACTTTTATAGCTTTGACTCAACTTTTTTTCTTGTGACTCACTTTTTTGAAACTACCTGAGTCATGATGACTCGCAAAAATATATGCCTACCGCCACCGCTGATTTACATATGATTTCAGCATAACTCTGAATGTATTAATGAAGATCTGGATGTATTGGGTCATTTATTTCATAAAAAATAATGTTTAATTTTTTTGTCTGCTGTGACGGAGCAGTTTCACTTTTCACATTTGCAACTGCTTCATCACAGGGGACAAAAAAATTAAACATTATTTTTTATGAAAAATAATTAAAAATACCAAATACATCAAAATCTCATTGATACTTTCAGAGTTATGCTGAAAACATATGTAAATATTATCATGTCACTGTATCGTACCATTAAAAAGCTAAAAAAAGAAATGGTACATTTTGGGGTATGATACTCTGGCGCCATTTTCAATAGCTTTACCTCCTAGCATTATGGGACTTCAAACAGAAGTGAAAGTTCCCCGCAAATGATATATCCATTGCATGGAGTAAGTAATTTTCTTTGGTAAAACGAAACATATGAGTTAAAAAATAAATTATGAAGTATTCTTAGTGTTTTTAT